AGGCCCCCAAAGTAATAAAATTTATAATGTGATGCCAAGGACCAGATATGGGCCGACAGACCCGCACCGCTTGTCCCGGTTCCCATGGCAGCAGACAAAGAGATGCTGGCCCGGAAGGCTTTTCACCGCCACCCCCTTCAGACGCCCGACCTTCTCAGCCGCCACCCTTGTGCGGTTCCCCCACCGTCCGTCCTCCCCTTCCTCCACCTCGCCCGCCAACAACGCCTCCACCACGGCCTTCGCATTGGCCTCAGTCACCCCCGTCACGCAAAGCTCCTGAGGGAAGAGCAAGAGGGTCCCGTCCTTGTCCTCCGACCCATCCCTGCATTCTGCCACGTTCAACTTCACTGTTCCACAGGAGATCGAGCCGGCACAATCCTTGAGAGCGGCATGGAGCGCTTGGGGGAGCGTGGGCGGGTCATTTCCCGCGGCGCCCGCCTCAACGTGCTTGGGCCATTCCTGCGCCCGTTTCCACAAGACAAACATGTGCGTGTCGTACTTCTTCACTGTACCTGCCAGGCATTTCTTGCTGCCCATTTCTGCGCGGGCAAAGCCGTGTTCGGTGTCCGTCAAGGGATCTGACTTATTCTCGTCCGATTCGCCCGCTTTCACCTCGGAGCCCAGGGCCTGCGCGGCTGTTTCAGCCATCGCCACCAATACCGCTCGTGCATCGTGGACTGACGGAAGAGATCCGTGTGGAAACGCGATGTAGACCCGACGTGGAGCATTGGATGAGCTGAGCGTGACCGAAAGTTCGACACCAGTCGAATCTATGTAGGTCAGGGTGGCCGCGATGGTCGAGGCGAGACCAGCGTAATGCTTTGCGTATAGGACGAGTTGGGCTCCGTGGTCTTTATTCATGTGGGCAATGATTCGTTCAGCTACCTCAGGTGGCAATCTCTCTCCCCCTCGATTCCCTCTCAAAAGACATCGCAGTGAGGCAGGCAACGCCAAGGAACGAAAGTGCTTGAGAAACACTCTTGCCACAACCCCACCAACAAGCGATGAGAATAGGATCAGGAGTGTTCGAGGAGCTGGACTACGGGACAAAAATGCGCGAATATGATCTACTGGTTTCATTCTTGTAATGAATGTGGGGGGAAAATATTGTTCAATCAGAGGACGATTACAGGAAAAAGCAAGCGCTTGCTTCATATGCACCAGGGAGCTTCCGGCACTGAGGGAAAAAAAATCTTTCCAAAGGGAAAAAAATATGGATCGCATGACTCTCCACGTAAACGTTATCAGCGTGGTAAAACATGTGCCAATACTTCGGAACGGGGCTTCTTGCAATAAAAATGGTCAGGCAAGGTCTCACTCTTGGCCCTGCTCGCCGAATCTCCAGGCGGTGATGCAAGAGAGACCCTCCTTGGGATACGATCAGGCTCATGCCATTGGTACGCGGATTGGATGGAAGCGCTCCTTAGAACCTGTGCATGATAGAGTGCAGATAAAAATGTTGCTTTTTGGGTCGTTGGGATGCGATGGAATATTCTCCTGCGGTCCAAAGGTTGATCATAAGGTACCATAAAAGGGGTAATCTGGACAGGAAGGAGGTATAGACGAGCTGACACCTCGGTCACGGCAGGCAAAGGGGCGAGCACATGCAATTCAGTCTTCTAGCACGAAATGCTGAGCAGGGATGTATGTCCGATGCTGAAACATGTGTGTCCATCCACATTCTCCTCAACGCAGGCTTCGCATATTCTCGTCACGCAACGACAGGGGCGTCATATGAGTCTCATGCTATCCTTCCGGTGCAACATACGCACGTCGCTGCTTTTCAATCGACCACACCTTTCGACACAGCTTGCGACGGCTCCGTCACTTGTGCGCCATTCCACCGTGTGGCGCGTAGTGCAGAATGCGATTCAAGAACGGCGGGCCTCGAAGGAAGAGGAGCAATTTCAGGCAGAACTGGCAAGACTAGCGAGCATGACGCGCTACGATTTGCGTAATTTCAAAGAGGCAGTGGATAAACCGGGGAATTCGTGGTTTTCCTGGGTCAACAAAGTACCGGGAGTTCGGAGCATGCCAGAAGTGCAGGTGGGGGAGCGGTACAGGAAGATCCTAGGCGCGTTCACGGAGGAGGAGTTGGCCCACCCTGAGAAGATCAAGTCGAGGGAGAAGCAACGTGTGGCCACACAGAGTGGTGAGTCGATCCAAGAAATCAATTTGCTCCTTAGCTTGTACGAAAACTCTCAGGCCTTGCACAAGTGGGTACGTCGGCGGGTGGCGGACAAGAAGGAAATGCCCAAGACGCAGAGTGAGTGCCAAGTACTGATGATGGGGGATCCGGCGGGCGTATCTGTGGGAGCCATGCAGCAGAAACAACAGAAAAGGGCGTTGAAGAAAGGAAACCGGTTGCCATTTTAATCAAAGAAATAGCCAAGGGAAGAGGAAGTACAAATGGCGGGGACTTGCCCCTTGATTCTCGGTTCGTACATTTGTATCTTACAGCAATACACCTCGCCAAGAGTCCTCCTTTCTTACAACCGATAATCCAACCCGGAGCCGAACTCCCAGTTCTCCACCCGTCTGTCCCATCGGTACCTTATCTTCGGGGGCAGGGCCTCCGTGCCTTTGGTCTGTTTCGTGGCACGGTATAGGAGAGTATACACGCAGAGCATGAAAAAATGACGGAACCATCCAAAGAAGGCGTCCGCGCCCACGTGCCAGAGGACGGTGGGGGTGTTGAAGAAGTCCTGGCGGGCGATGCCAGCCATGGCTGAGAAGAGCGGGCCAGCTTGCACCACGTCCTGCAGGAAGGGCTTCAGGACCGGGTCTCCGAGCTTCTCCATGGATTTGAAGTTGTTGATCAGCGAGCGGTTGATGAAGTCAGGCCGGGGCTTGGCTCCGACAGGCACACTCATGGCCCGTTGGAACATCCAGGTGACGGACAGGGAGGGTTGATAGGCATTGATGAGCCCGAGCTCCTCTTTCGAGAGAGAGTCCGTGGCCAAAGCGTCGGAAAAAGCGGTGGTCAGGCGGCCAAGGTGGCGACTTAAGGAGCCAAACCCGCCAAAGGACAAGGGGGATTGGATGCCTGAGGCGTCACCGATGGCGCAGAGTCGGGGGAAGTCGGTCCGCAGGGGGCTGTCCTTGTAGGTGGGGAAGAAATTGCAGACGGCGCGTTTGAAGGTGAGCGCGTCCAGGCTCGAAAGGTTCT